CCACGAAATTTAGACTTAATGAATGTATGTAAAAAATCTTATAGAAATAAAGGCCATCCAGAAGGATGACATCTGAGACACTGAAATGGTCAGACGCGAAATTAGTCTTAGTCCAGAGAGCCGCACTAAACCGGAACCCACAAGAGAGCTACCAGTGGAAAAAGTCATTTTGGGATTGAACGTTCACCCTGAGTATCGGCAGAAATATAACCAGGAATAGGTGCGTGGCCAGTGTCTTGCAGGAGGATCAAAAAGTCATATTCTCTTAGAAAAAAATAGCCACATGAGCTTAAACCTCACATAGCTCTTTAAGCTGTCCGTCTATGTCTGTCATATCTACGGCATAGACTCCACCTCTTAAACTGTCAAAGACAACAGATCTAAAGCTGCCTCTTATGAGGTGCAGTGCGGATCCAAGATGACCGACCAAATTTTCAAAAAATAACAGATTCGCGCCTTTTGTATATGGGGGTTTTTGGGATGGCTGATCACGAATTCGAGATCAGAATTGCAAAATTCATTTTGTAATATTTTTGTTTACTTTGTAACCTGAGTACTCTATCATGTTTTAACCTTCTTTTTTTTCTTCTATATCTTGTTCTTTTTTCTGTAAAATATCTATTCACGGGTTTTCTGCCTAATCCAAAGTAATAAAGTACGTCGGTAATTGATTAAATTTTTAAAAACGAATTTTGTAAATCTGATCTCGGACCCGTGATCAGTGACCCCGAAAACCTCCGTATACCAAATTTGCCGCGAATCTGTAATTTTTTGAAAATTCGTGATATCTGACCTCAACTGTCTGTTTTTTTGAGGTTAGAAAAGAATAATCAATTCTGACCGCGAATTCACGTTCAGCGGGGTCTTAATCATATAAATGAATATTTGAATGTAGAAAAAATTCGTGAATTTTTGATATTTTTTACCTGTTTTTTTTTGAGGTTAGGAAATTCCTGTGATGTGATGGCTCAATTCTGACATCGGATTAGTGATCAGGAGGCAAAAATACTACGGATAACATATGTCGCATGAAAAGTACAGACAACTTTTTTTTTTTGTATGGCTGTGCTATTATAAAGTGCTTATTTAACCCCCAGTGCAAAACAATCTAGGGTCAGTTGAAACCCTCTAAAATCAACTCTTTGAACTTGCATGTGAAATGTCAAGTACGTCTCCGGACCCAAATTTCAGAGCGTGGACCATTATTCTGAATCCTACAATGTGCCGAAGCATAATAAGATTAACAAAGGCAAATAACTAATTAAAATCCGCAACTAGCAGGACAATCCGAATCTGTTAATTTCACGAATAAACAATATTGGTTAATGACTGAATAGGGTTATTTTTTAAAGATTTGATAAATATCAAAAACTTTAAATAGAAGTTGGATTAATAATACCTCATTTCATCCAATCCATGTTTGTTGTTGCAATTTGTTTTGAACGAGCTGTAAACTCTTTTTGTGAAAATAAAGTTAATAAGGATCTAGTCAATTAGACACATTTGAAAGCAAAAATTCTAAAAATAATCTTTAACTTCATATTTAATTTTTAAAACTTATCGCTAATAAAAGATAAATTAAAACAGTTATTTCAATAACTAAATTTTTTAACGTGTGTCTCACTGTGGACTGCTGATTTTTTCCCTTTATTTTTATAAAAGTATAAAACCTAGAAAGCTAGGTTTTCTACTTTTATAAAAACTTCTTCCGGATAGTGACAGTTGCATTCCTGCTGATAATTCAGGAATTTTCTAGCCTTTCAAATTGCTTATGAACGATTTCATTAATCCCTTGTTGTGTTATTATTAGCAGTGGACTGGAGAAGACAGGATCATATATGTTTAGACAGCTTCTTTGTTGCCCTTATACTGCGTGTTTCTTGACCCTTACAAACAGAGATGTTGTTCGTGTCATAAGGGTTAGTAGGGATAATCTACTGTCCGTGCATATTTTGATGATAGTTTTGCCCCTATGGTAAGTGCCATAAGTTTAATGTCACAAAAAGTCCAATACAGCATGGGCTCCAAATGTAATCGTTCTCGAGAAAAAACGATTAGAATAAAACTTTGCGAAATTAAAAATTAAAGGTTACACAATAAAATAAACTATAATAATAATTAATAGAGCTTGCGAAAGATAAAATCTCCAGTTGAAAATAATACAGGCGTGCCAAAGTATGGTGATTTTTTTATCCAGGAATATTCTCAAAATTACATTTGGCGCTGAATTTGAAATTTTCGCTTAATGACGTCATATTTCAATTTTTTTAGGACCGGCACGAAGTAAAAAAAAGAAAAACACCCAATTCTGGATGTGCAAATCTAATTTAAATACAATATTAGGATTGAGAATGAACCTAATAACGTAATATTCAAATGAGCAGAGAACGTTTTGTCAAAGACGAGTAAATTACGGACTATCCAGGGATTATATTATCAAGTTTGTCAATTTAAAGACGGAAGCAGAAATGCACGATTGAAATGTATTGTTTTACATCCTCAATATTTCCCAAACTTTCGAGCCGGCATCTATGGGATCACTCCTTTGTGCGATCCCCGTTCTATTGTTCTGAAATGTATAACGAAAGGAAACCCGACCAGTCAATACACGGGAATAATTTCACTGTTCACTGCAATACAGACAGAGGATACACTTTCTGGATTTGCAACCAGAACTCGGAACATGTAAGGAATATAATCACTTAGTGGGAAGCCCCGTCCTTGTACGATGAATTAATCCGTGTGAAACAGCTCAGTTATTTCGTTTTGTGCAAAGTATGCGTATACAATAATTAAAGTGTAACAGAAAAATCAAAATGCTTTAAAGTATTTGATTTATGATTCGTTTTCTACTCAGGACGAGAGTATTTGTTTCAAATCATAAGATAATGTTTTATACAATATAATATACAGTGTGTATTAATTCAGCTGGTAAAATGATGTAGAATCTACGAATTACAGGGTCTTTTTGAAATAAGCGCGTTCTTTCAAAGGGTAATAGAGGACTTGAAAATAAATAAATTTCATTAGACAGTCTGTAGTCTAAAGTCCCATCTGTTCCAGAAAATGAATCAATATTTATTACGCGAAACTTAGGTCGATCCTGCATCGCCCCACTTGATCAACTGATCAACTGTTTACAACACAGTAACTAGGTCAAATTCGTCGTACCCCAAAAATAACAACCGAATTTCAGAAGAGCGTAAAAAACGCGAGATACCGGTAGAGTGAGTCCAACGCAATCATGGTGAAAAAATAGACCACAACGTATCATAAAGAGGGAGGAAAGTGTTTTACACGAGGAAAACCGGAGTCGCAGTACCCGCGATATTGCACGTGAAATATGACTGTATGGCGCGTGTTACAAGAGCACCCTTATCATATAGAACGTGTACAAGCTTTAACTGTAAATGATTTTTAGTAGCGTGGAGAATTTTGTAGTTGGTTCCGATAGCAAGTGAACCAAGAACCAAATTATGTAGATAAAGAAATAAGTCTTCGCTGATGAATGCAGCTTTATAGGAGAAGAAATACTTAATTTTCATAACACTCACTGTTGGTGTGACGCTAATTCTCTCAAAATAGGATCACGTTTAAAGCAGCGAATTACTGCGAGCAGCTGAAGCTTTAGTTCTTTGTATATGATTTTCTTTATTTAGGATTAGTGAGGTAAAGGATATTGCGTTAACTTACGATTTGATATCGGTCACTTTAACCGATTGGGGAATAATTTTACTCGATAATGAAGTAGGTCCCAATTATTGCAAAATATATATTGAAGAGGGTAGACTCCATTATTCTTAGGTTTTTGGGATCGCTGAAACCGAATATGACTATAAAAAATTATTTCAATTGCCCGTTTTCCTGCTAGCACCCCCTGAAGGTGGTTAAATTTTAAATTTTCGTACAAAATTAAGATGTATGCGTATTTCTGTTTTTTGGGACGCTGAAACCGAAAATGACTACAAAAAATGATATCCACTTACTCGATTACCCCCTTACACTTCCTTACAATCATTTAAAACAACCAGCAGGATCCATATGAAAGTTGGCTCACGGTAAATTGCGCTAACGTTTTCGGAAAAAAGAGAACCAAAGTTTCCATGGGCTCAACGCTCAAAATTCCAGGGATCCAAAGTCAATTACCTGTTAATTAGATAAGTTTAAGAGTACCTTCAGCTCCTATGTTATATACGCCAATACTTCACCGATAAGAAATATCAGCTCTTAGATGTATTTATGATTTGGTTCTACTCTTTGCACAACCCAGAAGCAACTGCGTGGACGTAATAGGTTTTTGTTCCCTTTGGGGTGCTTGATTAGCGTGAGTCTCCTTGCCTCTCACAATTTGGGGTGCTTGATTAACGTGAGTCGCCTTGCTTCCCACGATTTGGGGGTGCTTGATTAAAATGAGTCCCCTTGCCCCTCACGATTCGAGGTGCTTGATTAACGTGAGTTCCCTAGCCTCTCACGATTCAGCATTTACCTCTTTCTATGATACCGAACTGTCTTGCTTAAAATATCTTGTCTAAAATAAGGTGTCAATTTCAAAATATCAAAAGGCAAAATAAACACGGTTATGATTAGGACAGAATTCATAATTCGGTTTCAGCGTCCCAAAAAAATAAAATAAATATAACATCTTAATTTTGTACAAAAAAATTCAACCCCCTTCAGGGGGTGGTAAGGGGGTGCTAGTGAGTAAGAGAGGGGTTAAATTTATTTTTTGTAGTCATTTTCGATTTCAGCGATCCCAAAACCCTAAGAATTGTGATTTTTTTTGCGTGCCTGTGATTATTTTTAGAATAAATTATTTTTGAAAAATTTAAGCACTGGACTATCACAGTCGCTACACAATTTTTTTTAAAGCAAAGTGCTTTGTCACCAGCATGTGTAGCGAGTGATGCATTTCATACCAATATATTTTCATACTAATTCGCATTCAATGTAATCGCAGCCTTAGGGTTTCTAAACAATTTTATTGAATGAAAATGGCTTACCTTTGAATTCCACACACAATGTCGTTAGGTTTCAGCACCAAAGCATACGTAACACTGTAACACATCAGAATTCCCGTTAGGAGAACGTAACTGAGTTCCCTTCCAGAGGCTCTCACGACCGGCGTCTCGTTGTACTTTATAAACACTCCGAATATGAATACTGTAATAAGTATGCCGGTAGAGCTAAAAGCCATAGCTCCGATGGCCCATCCGCTGTCGGGCTGCAAATATTCTTCCGGGATATCGGTACATATTACGTGATGTGGATCTGGTATCGTCCCTTGCGGACATCGTATGCATTGCGTGGGGTCCGTTGGGTTGCGGATCTGTGAAAAAGTTTTTAAATTAATATGTCTTTCTATCAGAAACAGCTGAGGAAGATGTGATAAAGTTATATAGAAATTAAATCTTTCTTTCGAATTATTTTCAGTTATGGCGAAGTTATTGTTCCGAGTGGTTTGTTAATTTTCCTCGATCTTTCGTTGCTACGTTGCCTGCTTCATCGCTATATTTTTTGTAGGTATAAAACCAGGGGAGCAAATTAAATATAACATTTTTATACTCTGTGGATTGAGAGAATTTTTTTAAGCTTGGGCGCATACAAGCCGTGTTTATAAAAATGTAGTTGTTAGACAATTAACATTAATTCTGGATCATGGCTTCCAGATGGCGGGAACCATAATATGCATAAAATACTTTTTATACGACTGCCTTGCAAAAGGGGGTTTTGCGCACGGAAAACACGCTCTGAAAACGGTATTTTGCACACGCCGTGTGCTAAACATTTTGCACACGGTTATGTCATCTTTGCACACGCGTCTCCAGATTGTGATTTTTGTTTGATGTTGTCACCCAAATTATGCAATGTTTCAAGTTGGCTGAGTTTCATAGCAACCGTCACGGCTCCTTTATTTTGTTGATTAGATACTTCAAAAATTGTTGAATTCCCGAAGTTTGGGTGCGAAAATGTGTGATTCTGAAGAGATTTTACAGAAAGCAAGCGAAATATGTTCGGAACTGCTGCCCACAAAATCCAGAAGCAGGTATGAAGCTGAGTTAAGCCGATTTATGGACTGACGACTTGCTCTCTCAGAAAACGCCGTAATGGTGTATTTAGAAGAACTATCTAAGAAATATAAACCTTCGACGTTGTGGACGATTTTTTCGATGCTCAAGTCAACGTTAAGTGCCAATCACAACATAGATCTTGGAAGCTATAAAAAGATGCAAGCGTTAATCAAACGAAAATCCAAAAACTACGTCCCAAAGAAGTCCCAAATCCTCACAGAAGATGATTTTTGCCGGTTTTTGACGAAAGCATCAGACGACAAATATTTACTTATCAAGGCCGTGGTGGCAGTTGGACTATCCGGGGCATGTCGAAGGGAGGAATTATGTTATCTCAAAATAGAAGACACCAAAGATTTCAGCAGTGCTATGCTGATTAAACTGAAGAATACAAAAACAAAGGTACCAAGGTGTTTTACAATTACAGGAAACCTTTACACTATCTTAAAAAAGTACTGTGCTCTTCGTCCTCCTAATCTGAAGACAGGCAGGTTTTTTTTTAAACTATCAAAACGGAAAATATTCAAGACAAAACGTTGGCATTAACAAAATTGGAAACACGGCTAGGGAAATCGCTAAGTTTTTGATGCTAGAGAATCCAGAAACTTTTGTAAATACCATTTTTTCCCACTGCCAACATAGGAATATAAAAATAACAAAAACATTATGAAGTATTCTTTGACTCAGCCACCGAACATGGTCAAATAGGCATTGAAAATCGATTTTTGCACTAAAAATGATATTAAATAACTAAATTAATTTAAATTTTTTAGCCCCCTGTAGCTTGGAGAAGAAAACGCGTAGAGCATAATTTTATATACAGGGTGTAAATAAATAAGTGTAAAACATTTAAGGGGGTGATTCCTCATCGAAAAAAGATGGGATCTTTCATATAAAGAAACTTCATTGGAGCATCCCTTGTTAAGATACAGCCCCTTAAAGGGGGTACATAAAATTTGTTTAACAATTTTTTTCACAAGCACTAAACAAGTTACAATATTGAAATTAACCTGACATTTTCTACTACCAAAAAGACACTTAGCCAGTAATTTATTTGGTTTACCCCATGGTAGTAAGGGGTGGAAAACGCAACCCCTAAAATTTATTTCCAACGTAATTTTTTGTCTTATTATTTTTTTACCATTTAAAAAATTATTTCCGATAGCCTGTTTCATTCTAAAAAAAAATGTCTCTTGAATTTTTTGCCCAAATTAAACCAGTTCGCAGTAAAAAATTATTTTACGAACAACTACAGAGATACATCGTCATAAATGCGGACTGGATTTACTGTTATTTTGTAGTTACTACCTGCATTAAATGATTAAAGGGGAATAATCAAAACTAATTTAATAATAACAAAACATACAACATGTAGAAATCATAGTAAATGTTCAATATGTCTACCTTCAGACATTACGCATGCGTCTAGACGTCGGCGCATTGAGCCACGTATTCGCTCAAATATTCCTGGAGTCTCTCTAATTACCCTGCACGCATCGATAATGCGGTTTCTTAAGTCCTCTACATCGCGAACAGGAGTACGATAAACCAAATGCTGCAAATGGCCCCAAGTAGACAAATCCAGAGGATTGAGATCCGGGGATCGAGCGGGCCAATTCTGTGGTCCTCCTCGACCTATCCACTGATTTGCATATGTTTCAGTTAAATGCTGACGTGCTACTTGACTAAAATGGGCGGGAGCCCCATCATGCATAAAAACCATATCCCTTCTGACGCCCAAAGGAACTTCCTCCAGCAGTACGGGGGGATGCACTTTTCTTAAAAATTGAACGTATGCCTCACCATTTAATCGAGGAGGTAGAAAATGAGGCCCAATTAAATAATCCCCAATAACTCCGACCCACACCTTAAGAGAAAACTGTTCTTGATGGTTAGTTTCGACAATAGCGTGATGGTTTTCATCAGCCCATATGTGGTAATTATGAAAATTAATAATCTTGTCCCGAGAAAAACTACATTCGTCTGTGAATTCGATCGTCTTCAGAAAGTCACGATTTCTTCTAATCATTTCCAGCATCCAATTGCAAAATTCAAGACGGTTCGGAAAGTCTCGCGGTAACAGTGCCTGTACTCGTTGCAGATGGTAAGGGTATAAGAGATGTTCCTTTAAAATTCGAAATACCGTCATATGATCAACATTTAGCTGGAAAGCAATCTTTCTAGTACTGGTAGTAGGTTGTTCTTCTATCAAATTAAGTACTGCTGCCTCAAGCTGTGGTGTTCTTACTTCTCGATGGCGACCACAATCCTGCGTTCTTTTGTTGAATGAACCATATTCACGTAATCGTTGATGAAGTCAGACAAATATTCTATGTGAAGGATGCTGCCGTTGAGGATACATTTCAGCATATCTTGTAGAAGCTTCTAACCCATTCCCCTGCGACAGACCGTAAACGTAATGCATATCAGCCATTTCCTCATTTGTGTATGCCATTTTAATAACAAGTGAATTATTAAAGTAACAAATTAAGAACAGAACAATACACAATTAGTATTACTTCAATTTCAAAAATTTACAAACTGACAGCTTGATTCCAATTTAATTGTCAGTATCGCTAATGGCGGCCTACTAGATAAATTAGTTTCGTATTTTCGTTTTATGGCGATATGTATCTTGTTCGTAAAATAATTTTTTGCTGCGAACTGGTTTAATTTGGGCAAAAAATTCAAGAGACATTTTTTTTTAGAATGAAACAGGCTATCGGAAATAAATTTTTAAATGGTAAAAAAATAATAAGACAAAAAATTACGTTGGAAATAAATTTTAGGGGTTGCGTTTTCCACCCCTTACAACCATGGGGTAAACCAAATAAATTACTGGCTAAGTGTCTTTTTGGTAGTAGAAAATGTCAGGTTAATTTCAATATTGTAACTTGTTTAGTGCTTGTGAAAAAAATTGTTAAACAAATTTTATGTACCCCCTTTAAGGGGCTGTATCTTAACAAGGGATGCTCCAATGAAGTTTCTTTATATGAAAGATCCTATCTTTTTTCGATGAGGAATCACCCCCTTAAATGTTTTACACTTATTTAGTTACACCCTGTATAGAGCACTTTGTGTAGTCGTAATATTGATTGTTTTAACCTGAATACCCAACAAAACAAGCATAGCTATTACGGCCCTAACAAAACCTCACTGTTAACCCCCGACGGATTAGATTTACTATTTATGCCTCCGTCAAAAATAAATGAACATTTTCTAATACAGTTTAAATGGTTGTCAGGATAGATTGGCACTTAATGTTTCTGATATATGCCGCCCCAGTGTATAAAATAATTTTAATTAATAATTAATTTTAGCTCTTTCGGGGCACGGAGCACAAAAAATAGCGTATATATCCCAGGAGTGCCTTTTATGCGTCAGAGGCATGTTCTTCGCTCCTTGAAACTGATGAAACTGATAGCAGGAGCAACCGGACGTAAAGGAAAATTAACAAACCTTGGCGACACCCGGAGGAAATAACCTCACTGGATACAGGCTGTGAAAACCCACGCATCACTATTTCCAGTTATAATTGAAAGAGTTGGTTAATATACCTGCTCAGTATTATTTTATACTGGGTTATTAAATCATTATGTACAGTTTGTGTTAAATATTATGGAATTTATACCAATGGGATTAAATATAAACCATATATTTCAGTAGTTATGGCGGCGAGTTTCACGCCGATTCTGTGGCTTGCCGTTCATGTTTAGCTGTTTGATACATTTTTGTTGTTTAAGAATTGCTTTTATATTTGTGTACTAAATACAGGGTGTCCCACCAGGAATCGCCATATCGATATATCGGAAAGTACTGATCCGATAAATCTGAAAATTTGGCTACCTAGCAAAGGCAGTAAGGCCAACACCACTAAAATATTTAGAACTTTATGGCACTTCCGGTTATACTGGAAGTCGACATTAACTTTCTTATTTTAAATGGGACACCCTATGTTTTATTGCATTATTTCAGATTGTACGTGAAATTTGAGGGTCACTATGAAATATTATCTATACCTAGGAGTAAAAATTTGAAATATGCAAGGGTTCCGCGGAGATGCTAGTAACTCTTTTCAGGAGCGAGATATCAAGTGCATTTTTGGTACCTGTACTCTGTCGTATATAGATTGAAATTTCCCTTCAAGCCATGTAAGCATTGTTGGGGTTACCGCTACTACTTTTAGAGATATTTGCAATTTTCTGTTTTTTTGAGCAGTTTTTCTCGTATCAGACCTGTAACAAAAGCCGGAACGCGTAGTCATTTATTTATTAGTTTTGGAATGGATGGGCCAACTAAAATATTTTCGTCAACACAAATTATCGAAAGTTGAGGGCTTTCAAGTAGGTAGCGTCGTCCTTCGGAGAAATTTACTAATATTTTTAACAAGTTCCCTTAGAGTCGGGGCCATGTGACAGTCATCTGTTGCGTCTGGGAAGCGCCAGCGTAGAAACCCATATTTTTAATAATGCGCGAAACCACTAGAAGGGCGTAGAGGTTCCAAAGTAGAATTAAATTAAATTGTGAAATAGATAATAATTGAAAATGAAAAGGATATCAATTAGCTGGCGGATTTTCCAAGCTATTAAGAAGGTATTAAATGAGATAGACCAATCCGCCCCGTATTTGCTATACGGAGTCGCTAGAGGAAGGCTAGGGTTACTTGTAAGTAAGTTTAGTTTCAGAATTCTTATATAAATGTAAGTCCAGTCAATTAGGTAATTATTAGCCTAGTATAGTTATACCAAGCGTCCCGATATCCAGGGTTCCCGCCAATAAGATAAGAACAGAAACTTCTGGACCCAAGAAATGGGCGTGGCGAAGCGAAGTGCCGAATTCGAGAAAGATCTGCAAGAAAGGCAGTTCTTCCTTGAGTTTCACATTGAGCAGTCTAATTAACTTTAGAGTATCGGGTTAATTAATTAATTCTAATAATGGATAAAGTTTTTCCAAGTTTCTGCTATGAAGCGCGCATTCCTTGAATCTCGGTACGCTGTCGCGTGTAAATAAATAAATTAATAATGTTGTTCGAGCCGTTATACTGTTATTTTGTTTGTTTGTTTTGTTTATTGTTATTAAAACCCTTCCTGGAAGTTTTAGTGTTTTTTTTTGTTTCTTCCAACTTCAGTGTCACCCTGTATAACCAGTCACCGGATTATATTCTACGTAAGCAATAAAGAGTAAGTGCCTGAAATTCATTCTCTGAACATACAACATTTCTAAGTTCCCACGTATTAATTAAAGTATAATGATAATTATAAACTCCCTTTCGAGAATTAAATAGTAAACTCTTGTGAAATCCAAACTAGTTATGATACTGGTCATAACGAAAGATAGATAGATAAAGAAATAAGCCCTCAGGTTACAGACCTGTTGTTGGCAAACTGTCTATTATTAATATTTGTATGTAACATTGTTATTATTGTTATTGAATTTATATAACACAATAAAAAATATTCATAAATAAATATAAAATAGTTCCTTTTTTAGGTTAGGTTTTAGTTACTAGTTTATTAAATAAATATTCTATATGTTGGCATAACTCGTGTAACCGCTTATCAATTCGTAGCCATTCTAGAAAATGTCGACGGCGACGGTATGTTGAAGGGCTTATTCTTGTTTATATTACAGAAATATTTAGAGTACCAAATTGTTATCTTTTCAGGGTTAAGTTCTAGCCTGTGTGTGAAAGATCATCATTATCTAACTTCCTTATATGGTCACATTTGGTAAACTGGTAGGACAGGTTATCAATCCTGACAAGATGCTGACTTTGCAACCCTTGTAGTTTCATTGTTCTGCTAAACTTATAAATATGGGTCAAGTTCATTGTTTAACCAGTTATTGTCTAGAGGTAATACAGAGCTCATACCTTTGAGATTATTGTATTCATTTTGACATCGATACTTTTGTGAAAGTTTTTAAATAAAAAGAAATTTTGTTTTTAAAAACTAAAACCGCTCGGCACAAAAGTTATCTGGCGCAGTCGGTAGGATCCTTTTTTGGAGTTTTCCAAGGGCATATTGGAATTCTCGTCGTACCGTCGACTAACCAAGGAAGAACCACTGAAGATTGTACCGCTGTCATATCCTTGTCAGAACCCCTAAGTTAAGAAATCCAGGAGAATCAAGAATCAAGCAAAGAAAAATCAAATCAAAGAAATTCTCGAAAATAGCAAGTAAGAAGACATCAGCGATTAGGCTGTGGAGAAATTATAGTTCAGTAGGAATTTCTCTCGAGAAATTGCTGGCTATAATCGCTGTATCCACCCTATCCGAAGCAAACAAGACATCGTGAGGCTTTGCACTTGTATTTTTAGGTGTCGAAGTGCCTAATTATACATTAGCCCTAGAAGCAACCAAGATCGTGCACTTTCTTTCCAAAGACTGCATGTGATCTAAATCGTGCATAGGAAAGACTGGCCCAAGCAAGAAAACATCTTTACAAGAAGTCATCTCTAAAAGCACGTAGCCTCGAGCTACTTAGAACCCGTACTTAAAAATTAGGGACATTTTCAAAGACCGTGACTTAACAAAAGACTTAACTAGACAAAGCCCTCCTGCTCAAGAAACATATATAGTCAATCAGATTATTTTTATAATTTGTAAACGATTATATATACCAGAGCCTTCATGTTTTCTGTCATCAAAATTTTTCTTTTGTAAGTACTTTTAATGACTGACAATTATTCTGACGACGACACATTAGCTAACCTTTTTTCGCGAGTTTTTTCACCTAACCAATTTCTATTAGAACCCGTAGAAAACGAACAAATAAATATGGCTCAAGCAAATATTAGTATTCGTGATTACTTAGATTTGATCCCATTTTTCGACGGCGATGTTTCAAAATTACCAAATTTTATAGATTCGTGCGAAAAAGTTTACAGTATGCTTATTACTGATAATAACGCAGCCCGAATTCAATTTTTAATGCTTCACTTTCGAAATAAAATAATAGGGAAAGCCGCAGAAGTATTAGCTGCCCGCGAAATTACTACTTTCGTTGAATTAAAAGCGTTACTATTAAACACTTTCGGAGACCAAAGAAATGAAGAATGCCTTTTAAACGATTTGATGATGTTAGCACAAAACCCTAATGAATCAGCCACACAGTTTGCTGATAGAGTAATTTCACTGAGAAGCTTATTATTATCTAAAATTCAAATGTCTACGTTATTACCGGCTTTACGTCAAGAAAAGATTGCTCTGTATAACAAAATGGCTTTAAGAACTTATTTATCAGGACTAAATTTCCATTTGAGTCATTTATTACGTTGCAAACAACCCCAAACTCTTGAGGCAGCCATCAACAAAGTGGTTGAAGAAGAAAATATGGCTTATAATAGACAACAAAAGTTGGGACAGAAAAACAATTTTCAAAAGAATAATACATCGCAATTACGCACTGTACAAGGAAACTTTCGACCTACCCAAACATTTCCCCAGAGAATAGCACCACAACAATTTGGTAGACCAACCCCTAACGTAAATACGAATTTTCCTCATCGAATTCCAAATTTCTCTAATCCGAAATTTTTTCAACAAAGACAATTTCCAAATCCCTCAAGTTTTCAACGCCCAAATTTTTCAAATTTCCCTCAAAGACCAAATTTTCCACAACAATCACCTTTTCTAAACCAACAATTTTCCTTAAACAATCAAAATTCTCAGCGTACTAATATCCAAAATGCCCAACGTCCTAGACAAACATATCCTCAACCAATGGATACCTCATCCGGAAATACCAGGCGTACCAGAACTACTCAACCTCCACCAAGATTTACATTCCAAGAACTACATTACCAAGATAACACCCCATATTCAGACATTGAACAGGAATCATACGAAGAAGAGCCTTACTACGGAGAAGAATACTACCCCGAAGAATATTCTGAATTCCAAGAAAATTACACAGAAGACGAAAATTTTCCTATACCAGCCTCGGAGAACAATATGAAGAATACGAATTCCCCGAATATGACGAACCCTACCAGTACCAAGAACCAACAGTAGATCTAGAAGCTGACGAACCCTACCAAGACGACGAAACCATAACAAATTTAGAAATTAACATCGCATCAAATAGTAAACTTCCATACATTATAATTCCCGAACTTCAGGCAAGATTCATGATAGACACCGGATCAACAAAAACATTAATAACAGAATCCATAGCACGTGCATATTTCAAAGACAAAATGTATCTCAACCCCTTCAAAATTAAAACACCGCATACTACAACCACACATGATTGGTCTGCAGATATTCCAGTTTCGAAAATATTTAAAAAACCTGGATTGATACATACTCACTATGTATTCAATTTTAGTGATGCCTATGATGGACTAATAGGCCTAGACCTTCTTCAAAAAATCGGAGCTATCCTCGATTTTAGAAACGGATATCTAATTACAGACAATATAAAAATTCCTTTATTTATTGAAGGAAAAAGACTAATTCACCCTGACGCCGACAATTATAAGAAAGAAAAGAAAAAATATATATATAACATACCACCAAGAACTGAAATTATAGCAAAGGTACCAGTAATGGAAGAAAGCGGAGAAGCAATAATAAATTACATAGTCCTTAAAGACAAAATAGAAATACGTGCTGGAATAGTAAATATTGAAAACAGCGAAGCAGTAGTTATACTTGTAAACAATACAGACGAACAAGTAAATTTTAAATTAGGAGAACCCCTAGCATGTATGAATGGTTATGACTTAAATAATTTTGAACCAGAACCTATGGATACGGATGAAAATTATCAAAATTCATTAAAAGATTATGATAATTTGCAAAAGAAAAACCTAGAAAACCTAGATTTAAGACATTGCAATCAGGAAGAATACGACGCAGTTAGAAAAATTTGCTACGAGTATAGAGACATATTTTATTGTGAAGGAATACCATTAACCTTTACCAATCAAGTCAAACACCAAATTAGAACAACTGATGACACTCCAATATATACAAAGTCGTATAGATTTCCACAAATTTACAAAGAAGAAGTAAAAAAGCAAATAAATTCCATGCTTGAACAACACATAATACGTGATTCTGTATCACCATGGTCATCCCCGATATGGATCGTTCCCAAAAAAATGGACAATAGTGGAAAAAGAAAGTTCAGAATTGTAATAGATTACAGGAAGCTGAACGAAAAAACAGTACCAGACAAATTTCCCATACCTAACATAAATGACGTTTTGGATAAATTAGGACGAAGTCAATATTTCACAACATTAGACTTAGCAAGTGGATATCATCAAATAGAAATGGATCCCAAAGATATTGAAAAGACAGCATTCTCAACGGATAATGGACATTATGAGTTTCTCAGAATGCCATTCGGACTCAAAAATGCTCTTTCAACGTTTCAGAGAACCATGAACCATGTTTTATCAGGTTTACACAATAGATGTCTAGTATATATGGATGACATACTAATATTTTCAACATCCTTACAAGAGCACATAGAAAGCATCAGACTAATTTTTGAAAGATTTAGACAAACTAATTTAAAAATACAGTTGGATAAATCGGAATTTTTGAAACAAGTTGTAAAATTCTTAGGACACATTATTACACCAGAAGGAATATTACCAAATCCCGAAAAGGTCGAAGCAATTTTAAAATTTCCAATACCAAAAACAAAAAAGGAAATTCAATCATTCCTAGGTTTAATTGGCTATTATAGAAAATTTATTAAAGATTGTTCTAAATTGACAAAACCTATGACGTTATGTTTGAAAAAAGGTGCGATAGCTTACACATCAAGAACACTGAATGAATCTGAGAAAAATTACTCAGTGATTGAAAAGGAATTATTGGGTTTAGTCTGGGTAACCCAGTATTTTAGACCTTACTTATATGGACGAAAATTCACAGTTTATACAGATCACAGACCATTAAGATGGTCTTTAAAGGACGTTCAAAACTCAAAATTCGTAAGATGGAGAACGAAACTACAAGATTATGATTTCACAATTGAATATAAAAAAGGGAAATTAAACACAAACGCAGATGCATTATCCAGAATCCAGATTAACCCCATAGATACAGAGTCGATGTAAGTAAACTTTGACGATCCAGAATTAGATCAAATTATAGAAGATCTTGATAGAGAAACAGACTTAAGAACACCCACTCATGATGAAGTAGAAAGGATTCTTAATCCGCCCGAAAATCTCGCTGATATACCAGAAGAGGAAACAGTCGTGTCTACAGTTCACTCAAATAGAGATGATGAACCCCAGAATACCATCCCAATTTTAGACGATATAATAAATTCAAAATCAAGACAGATAATTATAAAAACCGTCCTTATGTATCCGCAAAGAACAAAAACTTTGAACACTGATAACAAACAGATAATATATGCGGAAATAACTAAAGAAGATAATGAAGAACAAATTATCACACTTTTAAGAGAATATACAACAGAAAACATAACATTTTATGTATATTTTGACAAAGACAAAGCTTATCAAGATTTTTGTAGAGTATACGAAAGATATTTTAACAATAATGGACCCAAATTAGTCAGATGTACTCAACGGAGAATATTTTTGAGGAAAAAGGAAGAAATTGACGAGACCATAAAAACATATCACGAAGGAAAAACAAATCACAGAGGATCGCAAGAGACTTTCGAAAAATTAAAACAAAGATACTATTGGAACAACATGCTAACAACTATCCAAGAATATATTAACAATTGTAATGTATGTCAAAAAGGCAAATATGACAGACATCCCCCACAGATACCAATGAATTTGACACCTACACAAAAGAAACCTTTTGAAGTAATATATATGGATACGTTTACATTAGAACAGAAAAATTATTTAACCCTAGTTGACAGTTTTTCAAAGTTTGGACAAGCAATTCCTATCAAATGTAAAGAAGCTTGTGAAGTGGCAAGAGCTCTCATAGAATATTTTGAACATTATGGAACATGTTCAGCGATAATAACAGATAATGGCAAAGAATTCATTAACAACCAAATTAAAAATTTACTAGCTTTCCACAAAATTGATATTCACTTTACTACACCTTTCCATCCAGAATCGAATGGAACCGTAGAAAGATTTCATTCTACAATAATTGAACATTTTAGGATATTCCGACAAAATCCAGAATTGAAAACAAAGACAGATGAAGAATTAATGAAATTAGCAATAATTGCCTACAACCATACTAATCATTCAACGACGGGACATACACCCTTTGAGATTATTTTTGGTCATACATCCAGTAAAGAGATTATGGATACAAAGTCTAGTCAAATAATATTCGATTATTCTTTGGACGAACACAGAAAAAAATTGTCTTTCATGTACGATACGATACAGGGAAGAATAGAAAATAGAAAAAGAATCAACGTAGATAGAGTCAATAAAAATGTAACGAATCCCCAAGAAAAATACAAAGTTGGTCAGAAAGTA